TCACTATTATCATACCTTGGCTTATTCCAGATTAGTCTCTTTTAGGCACTATAAACATTAAATCAGAGGCCAAAATCTGCAGATAACTCAGGGAACTCCTCTACCTTTTAAGACACCATCACATTCAGGAGACAAATCCAGAATATCAAGTTCCAACAGTGGAAAGCAAGAGAGGTAACAGGCTGGAAAAACACTGTCATGCCAATCTACAGCTGGATAAATGTTCTCCACTCCATTAACAGGGCTCTTTCAATCACAGGAGTTCTCTGTGTGGCATATTTCCTGACTATGATCTTGTGCTCCCATGGACAGTATTAGATGCAACTGCTCAGTAGATCACATATCAAGCCAGATGAATATATAAGACCCTTAGAGTTAGTACAACTAGGTGAGATACAAGCCCACCAGAAAGCAAAAGACAGGGAGAATCTCTCTGGCAGTGCATGCATTCAGTAAGTGTGAATGTGTAGGTTATTGGACACCTGCCTGTCTTTTGAGGTCAACACTCAAGGAAGCATTGATTGCAAAACTTGCTCACACTTGTATAAATAGGTTTACTACAGTTAAACATGTGGATGGTATGAAGGAGACACCTAAATATCAAAATATCCCATGGTAAAAATCATGATCCAGGTTATTTTGGGTAATCCAGACTTCTAGCATGACCTAGTCAGAATAACAGGGCCAGATGTTAAAGGCAGTGTTTTTCTGATAAAATGCAGACATCTATAGTGTAAATATATATAGCTGATATGGTCACTCCTACTTCCATATATGTCCATAGAGAAAAAAAAAAGGAATCATCTAATCTAATCTGAGGATTAAATGAGTTACGTCTCAGGCTTATTAGATATCCAGAGCTACAAAATGACCAAGATGACTTGCTTCATTTGTAGCATAGATGCATTTGCAGGCATCAGCATTTAATTAGATGAATCCCATGCTAAGTGTACATGACCCAGGAAACTGTCATTCAGCATCTGAGTAACTCCTGTGCCGTTCTTTCCTAGCCCCAGGGTTGGGAACAGGTCAACAGAGTCTGGATAGGAAAAAATAAAAATGAAAAAGGGTACATATGGATCAGCAGCGAGCTTTAACAATTCTTATCAGGCAGGAAGTCCCTTGAGGAGTGCTGACAGCTAAAAGAGTGTCCAACAGGAATTGAGGCAGCTCTGCACTAGAACAGGGAGAAAAACTCAAAGGAGACTGGAAACACTGATGCAAGAAATAACCTGTTTCCACTGCCTGGAGAAGTTGAGTAGGAAGTAATAATTCTCCTCCCTCTTTTATTTTTTGCCTTTGGTTTTCATTATTTCACTTTATCACTTTATTTGATCTCCAGAGCAAAGAAGTCACGTTCTGAGTCCTACTGAGATTTAATTTTCTTCAAATTCTCTTTTTCATTCAGGCTATAGGTGATGGTTGAACAGGGATGGGCACAGATGGCCAGCACATGCTCCCTATTTCTACTTATATAAAGGCTTGTGAAGAATTTAAAACATTTAAGAAGAAGTCATCATAAAACCCATGGGAGCAAAAAAAAAATCCAAACAGAAAATCTAAAGGCAGTCATTGTCTCTGAAGCATTATAGACATTACACAACAGCAGGAGGGAAAACAGTGTGGTGAAGAATAAAACAGTAATGAGCATAACATCTGGGCATGAGAGGTAGAGAGGGAGGGAAAGGGGAAAACATCAGAGCATTGAAAAGTCAGGGCTGGATATTTTCCATAATATAGTGCCAGCCTTGCTCCTCAGGACTTGTGGTTGCAGTTGCAACATCAACATTGTGCTCATGTTGTACCTCACCCAGAGGAGCTCTGGGGAACCGTTTAGTTTTTGTCTGTGTTCATAGACACTGAACATGGCAAGGAGACAAAGCAAAGGCAGAAGAGCTGAATTATTTCAAAACATAGCAACTCATAAGATGTTCTTCCTCATTTGACTTCAAAGTGGATTGCTTTCCACGCGGTACTTTTAGGCAGGAGAAATATCAGTGTAGGAGATGAAGTCTCTGAACAGGAGCAGAGAACCTACTATTACCATTACTATTTTTGGCACCATATGGTGCACCTTGGAGTACAATCTGTGACATTATTGTTCTAGACACTGTAGAAAAACAGATCACAAAGACAGTTCATGTGCCAGATTCAAGTTTTATATGTGATCATTTGACTTTGTGTTGCCTGCAACAGAAGAATGTGGAGCTACCTTGCTTACAGAGGTTACTGTACTTCAGCTGATTTAGAGGAATTGTTTTTAAGCCACAGTAACCTGAACATGTGCCTGAGCCTCTACAAACTCCCTAAAAACTCACAATCCCATTTTATACCCTGCAGTCCCTCTGAGGATAAATAAATCCTCAGAAAATTCATATATTTACTTGCTCTATGGAAATTTGCATGCAGAAGTAGTCAAAGCAGGGAAGAGGCAGTTTTATCCTTCTCTTTGCTCTTGAATAAACAGTTTACTCACCAGCCAGGAGGGATTTCTTCCTTCTTTCAGCTGATTCCGACAAGCAAAGGAGTTATTTCCTATGTTTCTCTTTCTTTGAAGGAAACAAGTTAATGACATATTTCTCCACTACCTGCCATCATTAGTAAGTGTTGTGAATAACAAAAAAAACAAATGTTGGGCAATTTTCACTTCTCCCAAGTGAAAAATAGGTTGTTTGCAGCAGATGAAAATTGAGAGGAATCAACACACTGCACATATGACTGCTTCATTTATAAGCAGTTACTACTTCTTCAGGGAGTTTCATAATGAAACTTCTCCAAACAGTGCTTGACAACTTAACCTAAAAACCATGTTCAGCTGTGGTGAATAGTGCTCCATTCCATCAACAGACCAGGAGAAAACTGCTTTTGGAGTAAACAGATACCCGTGATATTTTCCCAAATACTATGGAGTGTGAATCCATCATATATGGAGTTTCCCATGTCAACGCACCTCATGTTAGCAGGCAGGAACAAAGTGTCCTTTAAATCCAAGTAGTATCTCAGTGACACTGAGCAAATAGTAAGAAGGTGGTAGAGCTCTGTTGATGTCCCATCCTTAAACTATGGAGATAATACCCTGTTGGGAATGAGGGTGGCAAGATCTGGCTTGAAATAAATATCATGTAATGAAAGGTGAGCCTAGAAGGTCAGGACTTAAAAGTGATAGAGTGGAATGGTATAATCCCAGAGGTAGAATGAAATATATGCAAAACACGTCTACAATAATTTAAAAAGGTAGAGAGAAAGGACAACAAACAGGATCTATGGAATGAAATGGCTTTCAGACAAGAAATATGCCAGAATTCTTCATTGGAAAACAAAAGTCTTTAAGGGAATGTGACTTCTTTACTTTTAAAGCTGCCTAAACTGTGGATGTTGTTGCCATAGGATATGGTGAACAACTAAAAAATACACAGTGAGCCTGGGAAAATCTTCTTTACAGTGATTCAATCAAAAAAATACTGGAGGAACAGAATAAAAAGCAGCTGAGTTCTGCTGTTGAGCTAGTGCTTGAAAGGATTCAGTCCCTTCCTGCCTGAGTGGGTGATACATTTTAATGACATTGAGATGCAAAAGCTTTTCCAATGGCTCTACATCTCCTCTATCTCTGAGCTATGCTCTTTGAATTTAGAATAGTCAGGAGGGAGGAGTTAAGTCTGAATAGTGCCCCAACTACCAGGGTTGCTCTGGATTTGAGTGATAAAGAACAAACTAGCTGGTGAAATGGTCTCTTATGACCTGGGAAAATCTATGAATTCTTGAATCCAAATAAGAGTTATTGCATAGTCATAAAAAGTAGGGCTCATAGTCAGCTTCTGACATCATTCTGGGGGTAGGGGAGGAGAAACAGGGTTTTTTCTCTTTTGTCCTTGCTTATGCCACTTGGACCAGGGAAGAATTTGGAAGCTCTTCTGTAATGCACAAAGAGGGTCTCAAAAACACATCCCCAAGTCTGAAATAAACTGCCTGAAGTACATGTTTTCCTCAATTCCACCAAACCACACAGTTCATTTGCCCAAAGCTGGGAAGCAGAACAAAACTGACCTTATATATGAGATGAATAGCTGGTCGCTAATGGAAATAATCCTAGCAGCTAAAATGCAGGAATGGCTTGCTTCAGGGGATGCTCTGGTAACTACAGAGATCTACATCCTGCCCTACCTTGTTTCTGGGCTAACTACAGGGCAAGGAAAAGGGGAGAGAAATCTCTTGGTTTTTATCACACATGCAATGTGTTTTATTTACTTTTCTCTGTAGTTTTACCAGTTCTAGACACAGTAGAAGCCATTTGGAGAAGAGTCAGAAAATAGACCCTGATTTCCAATTAGTTTCTTTGTCATTCTTTGTCCTTCTCTCTTTAGTGCCAGCCATAGGCAGCTCCAGCTGCAGTCAGTGGGAAATGAGACAGGATATTAAACTATTAACTTTTCTTTTGTTTGCTGCCTCAGTTTCTTATCTCAGCAATAGCACAAGTATTCTTTATCAAGATTTTGGTCATCACAATGTTAATCCCTGTAAAAGTCTTCAGATCATATGAGAAAGAGACACAAATGATAAATGAACTGGTGGGGAAGAATGAGCTGTTACAGACCAGCAATGTACTTAATCTTATGTCCAGTCCCCAACAGCTGTTGCCACCTGCACCAGCAGAAGACATAAACACTATCAAGACCTGTACAGGCACATTATTTTTTTTTTTAATTTACTTTTTTTTTTTTTTCTATTTGGATTAATTTTATAGATATATGTTACTGTATGACCTGAAGTAGAGAAGCAAATTCCTGACCTATGATAATAACCAGCAAATGTTCTGGTACTTCCCCATTGATTGATTTTTTTGTCCCTATAATGCTTCTCTAAGCTCATTCAGCTGCAGTGACCTCACCTCTTACAGGAATATGTTCACATTGACATTGCTGGAAACCCCTGCAGATATGACAGGAAAGGTTTATAGAAACCATCAGTTCAATGTCCATGATCTGTCCCAAACTGAAACTCACCTGGAGAAGAGTCATTGAGAGGGTTCAGGGCAGCTGCTCTCCGTATCTTCTCCAGACAAGTCTCTTGCTCTTTTTTAATGATGCAGTTGGAATGGGTTGCTGCAACCTGAAATGTCAGGAAAAAAATGTAGAGAAGGAACAATTATAAACTTAAAATAGCTAGGGAGTTTATGATGAAAGATCAGTAAGTTTTGACTGAAAATGAAAAGAAAAACATCCTTAGAAGATAGAGAGAAACTGTAACAAACCTTTTTTTTTCCTTTTTTTTTTTTTTTTTTTTTTTTTTTTTTTCCCCAGAAGGCTGAACTATGGAATTTTAATGCTCATAAATTGTTTGAGGTTTTTATGTGGTTCTCCCTGTCAAAGTGCAATTTCTAATGTGTTCGCTTTACTTTATTGTATTCCTACCTCATGTAAGGCTGAAGCAAAGGTACTTCTAATTAAAAAAAATAATTTAAAGAGGAATCAGAAATCAATTGAGGCTCAGTTTGGTCTTCCATAATTTTCTTATGAGTCTTGCATAATCCATTAACCTTGCTCAAGATCAAAAACCAAATTAAAAGCTTTCTCTGTCTTTCATCCTGTCCATTCCTTGATGTTTCCTTCTTCTTCTATTCCAGTGAATACAAGGCACATTTCTTGCCAAAAGAGAATGCAATGCCAATTAAACTGAGATAACTTGATCCAAATATTATTTTTCCTATCTTTAAGGCTCTAAGACAGCCTACTATAATGAAAAAAGTGGAGGTTAAAAATAATAATAATAAAAAAAGAGATAAATGAGTCTATAACAGGAACGTCGCAGCCAACAGAACACAGCTAATCCCAAAGCAGCAACAAAATAAGGATACTCGTTCCCAGAAATCAATACAAGATTTCATTCTTGTTGCAGAAAGTGACCAGGAGATATCAATTCAAGGGCAATACAATCTCAGGTTTCATTAGATCATTTAATAAGGGCATTGCTAAGGTTCAAACCAGTGGAAAGCACCATGAAAATCAGTGCACTGGTTGAAGATGGGTTAGATCACCCTGATCCTCTGCAAGAAATTTTGCTGTTCCACATTTCCCATCCCATTTCCTTTGCTCTTAATGATGTGAAACTGCTGAAGAAATTAAGAGTGTTTTGCAGATGCCATCTTTTTTCCTTTAACTACTAAATAAGAATAAGCAAACAGGGAAAACTATACCTGAATTCAATCTATTTGAGTTTCTTTTGGAGCCTTATCTGCACAGTTCAATTTTATTTCCCTCACATCTCAATAGAGGGAATAAAGTGAACAGTTTGGGTCAGTAGGGTATCAAACTATCGAACTGTCACCACACATTTAATGCATACTTACAGTAAATCCAAAGGCATGTGTCATCCTAGTTTGGGGGTGCTTGTGTTGTGCTTTTTTGTGTGTTAATAGGCAGGGAGCCATTTGCACACTTTTGATGTTGTAAGAGTTACAAGCCACCAACCCTATTTCAAAGACAGAGAGGGATTCTTAACAAACCCCTACTTTACCAGCTTTACTCACCATTTGTAGGACCTGATCATGCTTCTGTTTCATCTCCAAGATCCCAGTAATAAATTTCAGCTATTTTTCCCAAGTGATACACCAGGCATAACCATATTAGATTTGTTTATCTTCAAAACAGACACTGTTTTTTTGTAGGGGCTCTCAAGGGACTGGAATATATATATGGAATCATAGAATCTCCTGGCAGGAAAAGACCTCTGAGATCATGGAGTCCAACCATACCTGTCCACTACTAAACCATATCTCCAAGCACCCCACCTAGCCATCTTTTAAACACCTCCAGAGGTCACCGATATTTGGGATCTCTCAAGAGCATAAGGGATTTTGCTACATCATCCCCTAAACCTCACCAAAGATTGGGAAAATTGTGTTGGCTGACATTCAAGTTCTTAGAATATATTTTAAAAAGATAAAAGGGAAATAACAGGTAAATCAGGCTTCTACTGCTAGTACTGCTTTACTCTCCACAGTTACCCAGGTTTGAAAGGAGTGTCCAGGAATTGTCTCAGTACATGAATGTGGCAGTTTCTATATTGTTCTGTATATGTAGATTAGAAAAGGGGAATAATAATAATAATAATAATAATAATAATAATAATAATAATAATAATGTGTGTTATTAATATTAAAATACAATTACACAGGCAGGGTGTTAATAAACAAAAGGAAATGTTTCATACACTTATTGTTATCCTGCAGAACTCTTTTCAGCTTGATATTGTGGATGTTAAATGTTGTAGGAGTTCAAAACATATATATGTGTGTATGTATGCATCAAACTATACTAAACACTAAGAAACCCATCATGCCTAACTTTTTTATGTCTGATGGGGTAACCTTAGACCTTTGAGAAGAAGGTTTAGATTAAATCTATAGTGAAAGGACAAAAGACTATGATTTATCCTTCCTATTTTTAGTGTCTTCTTTAGTAGAGCTAAATCAAAGCCAGGGCTCGATTGATTATAAAGAATGCCTAAGGTTAAAAGCTCAAATTTTTTTGTTTCCTTTGCAGACAGACACATCTAGTCAGACATATCTGGCTAAACTGACCAAATTTAGTCATTTATACCAGAGTAAGTCTGTCTCAGGTGGTATTTGAAATGCAGACTGCTAGGCACAGGGAGAGGACTAGAGTGATGTGCTTCACCTGTCCCTGTAGCTTTCCTTAAGATTTCACTATTGGCAGAATATTTTGATATGACTTCCTATAATCATCATTGTTCTGTTTTTTAACACTCTTCATGAGCAGATTTTAAAATAAATAAATAAATAGATTTGGGAACACAGAAGCTGAGATAAAAAACAAAGAAAGAGAGGAAACATTAAACTCAGTGCCAGAGAAGATAATAGAAACTGTCTGTATCCGCTAGTAAGCAATGCCATGTCTCAGAAAATAAAATCAGCTCTGGATTGTTAATAACAAAAGGTTTCTCTGTTCAGTGCAGAGATGCTTTAATGTTATCATGTTTTCCTGAAAGGATCCATATGTTTCATGTTTCTCCATTAACTATGTACTGGTAGAGCCTTTAATCTGTCCATTCAGCCTTCAATAACTGAACAGCAGAGCACAATTGAAATGGAAGTGTAAGCTTGAACTTCTTGGCCTCCTGATTTTATTTCTTTTGCCTCAAGGACATTTGCAATTTCCCGACTTCAGCAGAGACAATCTGATTTCAGTTTCCCAGAAGATATCAGTGATAAGTGCAGTTAAAGAATATTTTGACACATACTAGAAAAATCAAGAAACTGAGTGGATAGTGCATGAAATTTTCCTTTTTTAAAAAAAATATTACTCACAATAGAATGAAGAAGATTAACTCACACCAGTTTTGCAAATGCATATATTTGTATAGATACAAATACAGTAAATACAACCAATGTCTTTTTAGTTCTGAGGGAACACAAAAAGACAAAAGCAGGTAGCTACGACTCTATAGATGCACAACAAATGAAGATATTTCATTTTTCTTCTTTTTTTTTTTTTTTTTAATTAAGGTGCCCACCACAAAAATAAACTGGCATATGCTGTGTGGAACTTGTAGTACTTAACTCTGTTGTTCCCTTGATATTATGACAATATTAATGACAAAGATCATTAGGTTATAGCCTACATATGTGCTCTCACATGTATTCTAAAGGTACTGCTTTATTATGAACTGTTCCATGAAGAAAGTCATTGTTAGTACATAAAACTGAGCAGAGAATCAGATGAACACATCTGTGCTGTCTCTGGACCTGTCCTATATATATGTGTAAATCAGATCAGCAAATTTTAGAGTCATATATTTAAGCAAGGCATTGCTCAAATATAGGGATGCTCCAGGGAAGGAACCACATGGGAGGAGTTGTGCAGATCAGAAGAGTACACTTCCCTGCTCATGGGAATAAATACCTGTTGCTAGTTTATTCCAGCAGGAAATTTGAATAAGGTTGTTTTCTTTTTATTTTGGTTCAGGTATACCAAACACTAGGAGCTAGGCAGCTGAAGGTAACTTTGAGAGCAACTTCTTCCTTTCCCCAAGGTTTCTATACTGGAAAGGTAACAAGTCTACTTGTCTGGTTTGGTTCATAAAGATCTACAGAGCACAGTAATAGCTCTGCACCTCTTCCCAACATGTAGCACAGACTGTGCCTCACATTAGGTATGGTGTGGTACAAACCACTGACATTGTGCCTTGGATCCTCATGTCCGATAAACCTGCAAATAGTGAGAGAATAATCCTGATAATACATCCCACAAGCATAAGGCAAGGCTGTAAGTAGGCAGGAGTGAGAGCAGGACTGGACCACATTAGGAAGATGTTTCCTAATCATTTGTACTAAGGAACAAAGGATATGAACTTAAACTGAACACCATGCTTAGGTAGCTGTCCTGACTTATGCACTGTGGGTATGACACTAACACACAGCTATCCCCAAAGTGAGGAGGTCAGAAGTCTAAGCACAGATGTCTAGACCATTTGATGTGCCTTAAGTTATCTCACTTGACCTCCAGTTGCTACTGCTTGCATAGGCCTTTAAGTTTGTTCTTTGTCAGGATATTTTGGACACTGTAGGGTACCTCTAATGGCATTCATGTTTCACCACTTGAATCATTTCCTCAGTTATATCAAGTAGATACAGGTCTTCTCAGAGGAAAAACAGAACACCTTCTATGAATGGGACATTATCCTTGTGTCACATTCATATTCACTCATAAAGACTATAAGAAGATGTTGGGTTTCTGGAAGGATTTGGGAATTTTTTAACATATCAAAGCTGGGCATTAAAAGAGTCTCAGTGTTATCCAAACTAATCCTGTGAGCCAACAGTGCAGAACAGTCTAGTCAAAAAGCCTGAACTTCTTTGACTACATTCGATGATTAAAAAAATACTGTTCTGCTCATTTTACTCTCTGTAAGAATATTCACACTTGCTTTAAAACATGATTTCACTACCCAAGTTAACTCAATGGAACTACAGAAGTGAGAAAAGTTAATAGTATTCTTGAGAAACCCTAGGATCAGAAAACATGTTTTGAACTCATAGTAAAGATGTGACAGTGAACTGTGCAATTTACTTGGCATTTTCATTTCTACAAAGACATGCTCAAATACAGCAATTCAGTACCATTAACTATTCTTTCCTCTTCTG